AACAAAGTCTGACAGACAAAGATTGTATAATGATTACATAATGTTGAACAGTACTGCGAAAGGGTAGTACTGTATGTGAAGTGTGTTTGTAGCGATCAGGGGTGCACTATCATTTCCGCTGTCGTCTTAAATAGTGCTGAGATCACTATGGTGGATCACTGTTGTATATTACTTTAGGAAATGAATACATTCACTACTTAATTGGCTTTCATTTATACTAAGGTACAAAAACCTGCTCCTCTCCAGTGGTGAGAGCTTATATGGCCTATCATTCTACAGTGCAATTAATCTCAAACATTTGTGACCGAATCTGGCAAAACCAGCACTTTTTGTTTAAAAAAGGTGGTTTCAAATTTCATTTTCAAATCAGCTAAAATTCATTGACTATCTTTAATACATGTTGGGCCGAAAATGTAAATTATATCTTTGGCATATATTTTCCAATTTTAATAATTTTTTTGTATCAAATTAGGCCTATTAGAATTTTGACCTAGATTATAGATCTATTTTAATCTCATTTTTATTTTTTTGAGACAAGAGCTTGTTTATGCTGCAATAATGTGGGTCACATAAATTTTATTATCAAATGAGGTGCTAATTCTTTTACCCATTTCGTTAAACATGTTAGTATTGTATGTTAGAAATTAAAAATTCAAAAATGTAATACTAATGTGCATTAATTAAATAACACAGTAAATGGTTACAGTACAACCATGTGTACTTCAGAAAAGAACTGTTGTTTTTATTGAGAGTGTCTCAGTGTTTTGATAACATTGCTTCAGTTGTCAGGAGAATAATAGCTAAATTTGTTGTGCTTATAATATTATTGATTTATGTTGGTTTTCCTTTTTCGTCAACGTTTTATTGTAAATATGACAGTTCATTTTTCTACTTTAATGGTTTTTAGTATGTTGATATATGTTTTATTATTATATTATTATAAGAATTTGTGATTTTAAAACCGATTAAAGAGACTTTTACTGCTAATTGCCCACCTCTTAGATATTGTTCTTACTGTAAGTTCCCACAAAATAGTGTAAACGTATGTAAAAACATGCATTTGTGAACGTGTGTTTTTAGGACAAACCAGCCCTGTTCTGATTTTTCACTTGATGTTTGATTGACATACTAGGCAGTTTTCGCCGCACAATGTTAACCGTAACGTTAACGGATGATGTCATAGTTGCGGAGTACGTTAATTTTAGGTGCTCGACGTACGTTAATTACTTGTTTGCGCATGCTTATTTCGATTTGCTTAAAAAAAGGGGCGGAGCTATCGCGTTGCATGTTGGGTACCAACGTTAAAGTTAAGGTTAACTTTGTGTGGCGAAAACTACCTAACAATTAAGTGTCAAATTCGCATTGTCATAGAGCATAGCTCTTTGAGGGTTTTGATTTTGATTTTGTTTATTCTTGTTACAATCTTACTGTCGCTGGTTTGTTACAGTATGGAGGGACTATCTATTGCTTGGTGATTTATCATAGCATTGACCATCTACCTGAACCAACAGTCACATTCTACTCACCAACAAGCAACGCGTGGCAATTTCTTAAATGGATTGACGATATATCGTAAGTACAATTCAATGTTTAATGAAGAGATATAGTACTGTAGTTTCTAGTATGCAATCCTACCTATTAACTTTGTACCTCCTTAATAATTATGATTAATTTCCATGCACATGTAATAGGTCAAGTTCAAGCTTCTCTTTATTGTCAAGTAAATATTTACATGAAACTTTTTTTCCAAGTTTCAACGTAAATATAATAAACTTATATACATTTAAAAAAATAGTTAAAAGGTGTTAAAATACCAGATGCAATTCATTAAGTTAACATAAAAAGTACAGTACATAAACATAGTGTTATTGTGATTGTAATTTAAGCCTAATTGAATTTACTCTTAATGAAAAAATTTATGGATACAATTTAAAAAAAATGTAAAATTCATACAATGGTAGATGTTGTGTAAGGTTAGTAACCCCACCCCAAACCTCAGTTGGTGAAACTAGGACTCCCCATTGAGAAAGCAGACAATAACACTAACAAATCATTTTGCGTGGAGCACTGGCACTTTGAAAAAGAGTACAATTTTTTTGGGCATCTACAAGAGCCTATTCTTAAAATTAATTCCAATCCTGGTGGTTCTGACGTGGGTGCAGTGGCGTCGAAAAAATGGTCAGGGGGGTGGCTGCCCCGGGGCCTGGGTGTAATGAAAAATTTTCAGGGGGAAGAACAAAATCTCCATAGGGCCCGAGCCCAAGCCAGGATGAAAACTTTTGTTGTCAGAACAAACTCTTAGGAGGAGACTTAATTTGGGGAGCGGCCGAGTGGGGGTTCCCAGTGAGGGGGAGGGGAGCCCATGTGAGGTGTTGCCCCGGGGCCCTTACTGGCTCTCGACACCACTGCGTGGGTGTAAACTCTGTCAGGGATTTTGTACAGTACCTCTCATTGGGGACAGTACTCCTCGTCGGGCAGAAAGCCATTGTTGCAGCAGTCAATATAATTTTCATAGATAATTGTTATTGTATTGTGATGAAACATGATTACTTTTTAAAAATCTAAAGTGACAATTCACACAATGGTAGTTGTTGAGTCAGGAACTCAATTTTCATTCTTTATTGCTTTTCATAGGTAATTGATATTGTTGGTAATGTTATTGTCATGACAGTTAAAATGAATGTCTCTTGTTGAGCTCCTGCAAATAGCCTATCATTTCATTGCCCAACCTTAATTTACACATTAGTCTAAGACACAGGTGAGCACAGTGCAGCCCTGCCAAACATCTTTTGCTAAAAAAACACCTTGTTTTTTACTGCCCGGCACCGACCATCTCTAAAAAGTAGTATTTAAACTGAGAATAAAATGGTGTAAAAGCATTGCCTGAAGGTATTTGGAAGCACACCGGAACATCAAAGTTTGGGTGTGGCCCTCGGTATAAGCCAAAAATACATTTTGGCCCTCCGACCGAATTTTATATTCACCCCTGGTCTAAGAAGGTACTATTGCCAGTATGTGGATAGGACTTAATCACAAAATACACAAAGACAAATTTTGTAGTTATATTTATGCAAATCAGAGAAAACTACAGGTCTTCCTCCAATGAAAATCCCATTCAATTAGAGACCACCTCTAATTAATGACCACTTTTCTGTGGTCCCAACAAATTTACATTTTATTTTTATTATTCTAATTAGAGACCAAAGCTGCTAAAGACCATGAAAACCCTGGTTCCAAAAATGGTCTTTAATTGGAGGGAGACCTATACTGTAGTTGTTTCAACTGCACATACTTATTTATTGGATTAATTTTAAGTGAGCCATTAAATATTCCAGTTGATTTTTAAAGTATTTTTTCCATTATCACAGATTTGTTGGTGGCGGTGGTGAGGCGTCAAGTCTAGCTGCAGAGGGTCTTGGGGCTGCTCTTGGAATTCTAGACGATTTGAAAATTAAACGTGATCAAGGGTAGGTTTATTGCTTCCTTTACTCTCTCCACACTGGATTAGTTCCTGCTCATATCTTTTATATTCTGTATTTTTTCCTTGTGTCATAAAATTGTTACATTTAATTCTATTCTAAGTTCTTTCAGAATTCTATCCACACTGGGCCTGAAAATAACAAAATTGTTTGTTTGCCCTCTGGCGCCTGCCCCTATTTCACCGAAAAATAGGTGGCGTTTAAAAAAAAAAATTTTTTTTTTTTAATTTTCTTTGTTCACAAATTTTAAAAACTGATCTTTATCTTTCTCCATTTTGCACATGAAAGTTGTCTAAATTTGGTGTCTGATTTAAGGTATTGCCATTCTATACCATTGCAAAATATCGATTATTATAACTTTTTTTGTACCTGCACCCCTTATACAATTTTCAGCATTAAAAGGCAAACAAACAATTTAGGCCTTATAAAAGTTTGTTACCTCAGGTTTATGTGAAATGCACATATATGGGCATGATAATTTCATTTCACATCCATCTCAGTGTGGTGAGGGTAGGCCTAGGCCTATGCTACAAAGTAGGGCTAGGTATTAGGCCTATAAGCCTTGCCATGGGAGCAACATTCCATCATTTGGATATTAACTATTTTCTGCAACAAAATAATACTGTACAGAAGCCAAAATTGCCTGTGCTCATTGTAAAGTATTCATTTAAAGCGATTTCCGAATGAAAGCATGACTATATAATGCCCAAAACGAGTGTTATTATTCTCTTCATATACTGTAGATCGTGAATCCATGCGAATAGCACCACCACCAGTGAAAAAATAGTGAGATTTACCCAGCTGTATCAGTATGCCTCAACAAGCATGCACATCATCATCATCATCATCATCATCATTTATTTAAGTCGGTTTTCTTCCCTCTTCCAAGGGGTTACTGACTGTCACTCGTTCCATGCAGTTACACCATCTCTCCACTTCTTCCTGTCTTGTGCATCATACTCCTCCAAACCAATTTTTGCACTTTCTTTCTTCACCATATCTTTCCACGTCACCTTTGGCCGTCCCCTTACTCTTCTACCTTCAACTTCTAGATGCCAGGCTCTCTTTACTGGATCACCTTTGTCTTTTCTTAGCACATAACCCATCCATCTCAAGCAACTCCTCATAACAACCTCCACAATTGTTTCACTTAGACCTAGACGTTCCATAAGCTCCTTCGTGTTCCTTCTTTCTGCCAGCTCAACACCACACATTTTTCTTATCATTGCTCTTTCTGTTCTTCTCAAAATTCCCTCTTCAGTTGTCTTTATGTTCCATGTTTCGGCACCATACACCATTGCTGATCTTACACAGGCTTTATAAATCCTACCCTTTATTCCCAATGAGAACCTTCTGCCACACAGTACCATGGCCAGCTCATTGAACTTACTGTAGACCATCCAACCCTACTTCTCCATGCCACCGCAATTTCACAACCGCCTCCACTATTAAGTGTATCACTAAGATAACAAAAACGGTCCACTCTCCCAATCTCCTGCATTTGTTGTTCCACCACCTGGTCTTCAGCCTACCACCTTCTCTTGTCTTTCTTACACTTCTTGCAAGTGTAATTTATATCAGCTGAAAACAATTGATATTTCTTACTTAAAACGCAGTTTTATGTCACTTTATAAGTTTAAATGTTTTCTTTCTTAGCAGATTAACATTTCATATTATTTTTGAAGACTTTTAAGTACAATTTTAAGTGTTTTTGTAGTTAAAAATGATTTTTTTAAACTACTGTTTTACTGTATTTACATTAATTTACATATTCATATTACTGTGTATCTAGTCATTGCATCTGTTATTGCTAGGTTTTTTTTTTTATATGGAATTGATTGATGAATATAGAAGTTGATTGACTGATTGACTGATTGATTTATATGGTCTTTGTTTTATGAAGCTTGACATTGAATACTTGGCAGCACATTTAGGTGAACATATTCTTTTTCTCAAAGATATATTGTAATACTGTAGTTTATTGTTACTGTATTTCCAAATCTGACATGTTATCACACAAAGTATTATAACATCATACATGTGAAAAAAATTGAAATTGATTTAGTACCCATTACTGTATAGATTGTACTGTAAGTATTTTTGTTCTTGCCAGTTTGAGAAATTAGCAATTTCCGTTCATATGAAGGTCGTACGTTGTGGTCAGGAGGCGTGATACCAGGGCGTGAAAACCTGGAGTCAACTATACAAACCTGTAAACTGGTTATTTAATTTGTTTGTCTCTCGTATCACGATAGTGCTTTACATGTTGTGGATTTCTTTTATTGTTGGGCTTGCACAAGACGCTGACCCCATAGCCTTACTGCTGTTCCTGTTCATGTTCTTGTTATTGTTAACAAAACTTTAAAAGTGTCCAGCGTTGGCATTTTTGAACTAGAGGTGATTTCCAAAAAACACACTACAAAACAAAACAGGAGTTTCAGCATAGACTGTACATAGACTGCAATTACCACTATAGGGCACGCCCCATGGATGGTGCAGTCGGTTAACGATGTGTTCTAAAGAACTTACGTTGTGACTTTGAGTCACGTCTTGGTATTCAATTTTTTTCCCCCAATTTTAAGAATTTTTTTTTTTTTCAATTTCAAAATATTTTAATTTTGTACCAATGAACATTCTTAATAATAATTTCTTTCATACAAATAAACTTAAACTAATTATTTAAAAATTTCTATCTATTAGCTCTTCCAAAAAATCCCAATATACAGTAATAACTTGCGCCCGTACCGTATTTAAGCGTGGATAAACGCGCTTACCGGTGAGCAGACACTTTTCTTAATGTAGATTAACCACTAGTGGACGCCAGTGGTGTATCCAGAAATTCAAAATAGAGGTCCAAGCAGAATTGTATCATAACATAGGAATTGAAAATTAGTTATAGCATTTTATTATTTGTTTTAGGCCCAAAGCCAAAGGTATTCAAAACAGCAAACCTATAAAGTGACAAATTCCTTTCAAGACAAACATACGAACAAGATACTCTACATAAGCTAAAGCCAGGTGCTAAATGCTACGACGCGTACACAACAGATCTTTTTTAATGACGATCCGTTCAGACTTACTTGCAATCAGCAGAGAGTGTCGCGTCGTCTAGCGCTTTAAGAGGGAGTGGCATTGGATTCGTTGTCCAATGGTCGGACGATGCAGTGAATGCAGTGAGTGCTCAGCTTAAGTCTAATTATGCGGCTTAGGAATTGGAGTTGTTTTTAGTGATGAGAAAAAATCCTGACAGGAATTGAATCCAGGACCCAGGGATTGGAAGGCAAGGATCTGAACCACCAAGCCATTCAACTCCCTGAGGAATTCAAACTATTCTTTGATGATAATAATAATAATAATAATAATAATAATAATAATAATAATAATAATAATAGAATAGAATAGAATAATAATAATGATAATAATATTTATAATAATAAAGATGCCTGCTTGGAGCCTACAGTATATTTTCATAGGTTTAATGAATATTTTTCTATGGCACCAATAAACAATAAATTATTCTCACAAAGATGGGATACAGTTAGCAATTTGTATATAACTAAGTAAATTATTTCATTTTTATTATTTTTATATGTATATTTTAAAAATTATTTAATGTTTATTAGAATGCTTGTTTGAATAAAAATGTTTGTAGACGGGATTTAAAACAGTTCACTGTGGTGATGTACACTCGGTAATATTGCTGGGAAGTTTGTTCCATAGGATGGGGTCGTGAACAGAGAAAGCCCTTTCTCCATACGATTTGGTTCAGCTATAAGGAACAACCAACTTCAAGTCCTGCTCGGATCGTAGAGACCGCGGTGCACCTCGCTGCTATTCAGAACATGTACAGTTTGTCCATACTCATGTGAGAGTTGATAATCCACTCCAAGGTTTTTAACACGTTAACAGCCAGCAACGAATATACTTCCCCACAGGGTGTTGCTGAGGCCGCCAGGGACGAGGTATACTCGTCAAAATAGGGGAAACATTCTAGAACTTCTTGGTTATACATTGTGGAACCACAGACTCAACGGCTGGTAGTTCGGGGAAGATACACCTGGATGACAATGTACAAATGACATTGTTGTGTTTATGTTGCCGGTAGTACACTCAAGCGGCACAATTGGGGGCGCCCTTTGAACGTATGGTATACTGTACCAACCCATGCATAAAGCGGACGATATAACTCGCACTTGGGCAAAAAATGCTATCACAGTGCCGTCGACGAGTTTACTTGCCCCCTAATATTTTCCCGACAACTTATTAGCCACATCATTTTGATGATGTACAGTATTGTATGACTAGATAAAATTTCAAAAAGTATGCTTGTAGATGTAACTTGTTTTGGCACACAGGAAGGAACTTTAAAAAAGGTCTGTCAGTCAACGTGTTAATGTGTCACTTGGTACCAATATATAGGTTTGGTCGACTGCTATTCCTACTATTTGGGGCAGTGGATTTTCTATAACGTGACGACAGATGGATCACTTCCGTTTTGCTGTCATTTAACTTCAACTTGTTGGCGAGCATCCACCTTCGTATATCCGCAAGACAGTTTGAGTTTGAGGCGATGGATCTTTATGTTGCAATTTGAGTCACTTCTGAGACTCATAGAGTTGGGTGTCATCAGCATACGATGAACAGTACTCTATCCCATGGCTCCATATGACATCACCAAGAGGGCTCGTACATATTGGATATACTGTATTATATTGGTGTTCATATATTTTTTTAAAATTCAATATTTCAGTCAAAGGGCACCTATAAGGTATAGTCTAGTAACATGGTACCTTTAATAGTGAAAACAAAACTGATAAATTTTAATGATACCTTAATTAATATACTGTATAATTTAAGGGTGACATGTGTTTATGTTGTAACATGCACTACAGTTTATTAAGATCTAGAAGTAGGTTGTGATAAATTACGCTAAGCATTTGTGTTTCGACATACAATGGTGTACACATACACAATATTGAAATGAATAG